GATAAATATATTGAACAGGACTGGCCCCAGAACTGAACACTGAGGAACACCGCTGGTGACTGGTTGCCAGCAAGATGCAGCCCCATTTGCTACAACTCTTTGAGCTTTGCCGTTCAGCCAGTTCTTCACTCAGCGCACCGTGAATCCGCTCATCCCACAGTTGGACAACTTGTCCAGAAGGATGCTGTGAGGGACAGTTACAAAAAGCCTTACTAAATAGCTCCCTGAATAGCTTAAAGTTTGCTCTCCTGAAGTCCGGTGTAGCAACTCTGCTGTCCTTTTTTCTCATTACACTGAAAATTTTAAACTCAACTATTTCATGATCACTGTGGCCAAGACAGCCACCTGCCATCACATCCCCCACAAGTCCTTCTCTATTCACAAATAGCAAGTCTAGAAGGGCATCTTTCCTAGTTGGCTCACTGAGTACCTGTGACAAAAAGTTATCTCCTACAAACTTGAAGAATTTCCAAGACCTGCTCGTCACAGCAGTATGATATTCCCAGTTGATATCTGGGAAGTTGAAATCTCCCATAAAGACAAGGGCTACTGATCCAGAAATTTCTCCTAATTGCCTATAGAATAACTCATCAGTGCTTACGTTCTGGCTGGGTGATCAGTATAGACTCGTACTACGACAACTCCTTTGTTTTCCATCACCCTAATCATTACCCAGAGACTCTCAACCACATCATCACTATCTGTAAGGGCTGTGCAATCAAACCTCTCCCTTGCATATAGTGCAACACCTCCGCCTTCCTCCTGAACAGCCTGTAGCCCTCCATCCCAGCACTCCAGTCGTGGGACTCATTCCACCAGATCTCACTAGTACTAATGATACTGTAGCTCTGGGAGCTGACCAACGCTTCCAGTTCCTCCTCTTTGTTTCTCATACTGTGTGTGTTGGTGTACAAGCATTTCAGATATGCTCCTGAGCCCTCTGTGCTCCCAGGAGCAGTGTAAATGTTGCCACTAGCATTGCCACGCTCAGGTGATGCTATGCCAACCCTTGGCTCACCTGCTGCACTCCTGTTGGTATCCCCTTCCCCAACGATTCTAGTTTAAAGCTCTCTCGCTCAGTCCTGCCAGCTTATGCCCAAAGATGTGTTTTCCCCATTGGGACAGATGGATCCCATCAGGCCACACTGGGGGAGACTTCACCGGGCTCAGAAACTTACATGTGGATTTGTGTCAGGTTCCGGCAGTAAAGGAGGGGGTTTGCCAGTAGAAGTCAACTACAGAGACCTCCCAGGCCCATCCTAGGCATGCATACCTGCATGGCTGTGGAAGGCAAGATGCCTATGGTATGGTTCCTATATAAGGGACTGTTACTGTTTAACACCTTACGTTAGGTTTATGGTTGGACTCTATGATCTTAAAGGTCTTTTCCAACCTAAATGATCCTGTGATTCTATGAAAAAATGGGAATGGAATCATGGGAAAACTCAGTTGGAAGGGACTTCAGGTGGTCTGTGGTCCAGACTCCTGTTCAAAGCAGGTTCAACTCTGCGATCACACCAGGTCGCTCAGGGCTTTGGCCGGCTGGGTCTTTGAAATCTCCAAGGACAGAGACTGCACAAACCTGCCTGGGCCCCAGTGCCATTGGTTGGCTGTCCTCATGAGGAAAACGTTTCTCTACATATCCAGTCAGAGCCTCTTGTTTCAACTTGCGGATGTTGTTTCACGTCCTCCCACCATGCGCTGCTGTGAACGGACTGGCTCCCTCTCCTCAGTAACCCCACTCCTCATACATAGTCACTGGGGGCTGCTGTTAGGTCTCCCCAAAACTGTCTCTGCTCCAGGCTGAGCCAGCTCCGGTCCTTCAGCCTCTCCCCACAGGGCAGCCTGCAGCCTCTGACCATCTTGGCGGGCCTTCGCTGAACTCATTCAGGTTTGTCTTTTATTAAAGGGCCCCAAGTATCCCTTATTAAAGGACCGTAGTATCTAGATGTGGTCTAACAGGTGCTGAGTAGAGGAAGATAATCCCTTCCCTCAGTCCACTTAGTACCGACCTGGATGCTGCTGTCCTTCTTTACTACTTTTAATTTTTGTGATTGCTTTCCTTGGAGCAACAGGAACCTGGGGAAAGGCGTAAAGTTCTCTAGTGTTACAGCAGCCAAGAGGTTATAGTTTTGTGTTTTGTATAGCATATATAGCAGTCGCCAGCGAAGTACAAATTTGGTTTTTATAATAAATATTGCTATGAATGAAATTATGATCTTTCCTGTAAGTCATGAGGTAATGTTCTTTGCATATATAAAGAATATACTCTAATGGTGAAATCTATAGGTATTTTGTTCATACTGTGATTTTTCTTAGGAAAACAATACAATTGGAAAGCTGAATGTAGGCCATAGCTACCTAGATACTGTATTTTTTGATTGCACTAGAAATCTGTGTAGTAAAGTGAACTTCTATTTAGACAGTATTTGGGTTTTGTTAATCTAAAACTGAGTATGATTATAATCCTCGATTAAGACTTAGAACAGCATGAACATGTAAACATTCTTAAATTTGGCACAGCTCTGTTTTTACATTAGTGTTCTTTACGTGTTTTTTTTGCAGATGGAGCTGTGTATCGTGCTTGCCATAAATCTACATACTCAGTTCTTGCTGAAGACTACAATTGGTACTTAAACGTGCTTTGATGTGTGCCTGTTTCATCTAATGTTTATTCCAGGGCTACTTTCTCTGTTGTGAAGTTGTCACATAATGGTATCAAATACATCTTCTGCCAGTTTTGGATATATGTAATCATTTTACCTAAAGTACTGTTTCCGATCATAATGATTGTGAAGTTAGTATTTAAAGAAATGAGCATAAGGAAAAATCATGCAGGACTCATTCTAAACGTGGTGATGACCCCAGCATCCCTGCAGTTTTGTTTGTGGAAAAGCAAAAGTAGCTAAGAGCAGTCATTTTCATTGATGCTTGTTGTTAAGACAAAGTCCAGGTATTTTTGTGCTGCTGCATGAGTAGCATGAAGCTTGAGTAGAAACCAGAAAAGATGATACAAATACAGTGAGAAACGCAGCATCCATGTCATACAAGGTTTTAGCAAGCTAATGTGTCATGGAAGTTAATAAGGAAGGAAGGTGAGAAGAGAGTCCTACTCCCTCAAGGAACCTCTCAGTAGGACTTTTGGTTCATCATGCTCATCATCTTTTACCAAATATAAAAGTTGGAACCCCAATCAGAGCTTTGTTTTCTGTTCTTTCTTTTGTAGGTGCCATACTTCTTATAAAGGCATGATGTCCTAAGTATCACTGATGATCATTACCCCCATCTGTTGCTACAGTTTTATATGTAATTATTCAAAATGTCAGAGATTTTTTCCAACCCGTATTTTCAGCTATCTTTAATATTTTATTTTAGCCCTTTTTTCCTCTTGATCCAAAAAAAGAAACCTGAAGATGGCTGGGGGGAAAAAAAAAAAGGGAAGGTCAGATCAAGGGTTTGTGACCCTTATTTTGTAAGGATTTATTTTATAGAAGATTCTTAAGAATTCATAAATGCAGGGTCAAATCTGGTTTTCTTTGGGACTTGGGCTGTTCAGTTGCTCAGCATTTCTGAAAATTTTAAGGGATATATTTAAGAGTAAGTTTTTATTTTTATAGCAAAGTGGAACTTGCAGTGACATCAGATTTGAAGACAATTGTCTGCTACCACCCTTCGCTTGAGATTCCATACGAGCATACAAAAGTATGTCGAAATGTACACATTGCTATTTCTTACTCTTGTAAAGGCATAAGCAGCTCATAATTTTGAGTCTTTAGGGCATCTTTTTTTAATTTAAAATAGTGAGGTACTTTTTATTATGTGATCAGCATGTCCGTGAAGTGAGGGAATGATGAACATAGCTGCTACCATGTGGAGGACCTTATTCTCAGTTGAATTGAGGGAAAGTTGCAGAGTAAGAAATGCTTGGATATCACAGCATGTAGTAACTCAAATAGAATTAAGTGACGCACTCAAATACTTGTGCACTACAGAGAAAACTAGTTTCTGTCTATGAGTGTACTCCTCAAAGAGGATGTTTGGAATGCAGGTTATAGTTCACATGTCCTACTGTGTACACATGCAGCAATCTGGGTGAGAGGATATAAAGGAGTGCTGCTGCTGCTGTTGCTTTCTTCAACTCACGCTTTAAATTCCATTCAGCACTCTGGGTTCGTAAACTCCACAAAAAACTTTAAATATTGAATTTTTATCTACCAGTAGTACTTTCAATTTCTTCTTTACACCGACAAAAGTATGTCTAGATAAACTTTTCTAGTGTACACTTTTTGTTTCAATTTCCAGTTCTCAGGTGCTAGTAAAATATTGCAAATGGTAGCTACGTTGCTGAAGTACCCAATGTGAAAATTCTCCATTGAAAACTTAAAACATTTTAGCACTCTTTGCCTGCAAGTTACATATCGGTATTTTAAAATTTATCAGTTGCACGTCTCTCAGGAAAAACAGGTGTAAAAGACTAAAACAAGGAAAAATACTTGTAACGGTGCTAGTAGTTAGGTTTCAGGTTGAGAACAAACGTCTCAGTCTTAGCAGATGCACAAACAATTAGGAAGCTTTTTTAGCGATGATGATCATCACTATGAATAAATTTCTAAATAGGAATAATATAAGTACTTTTGTATTAGTAGAACTGAAGCTTATGATTCAGCTAGTGAATTGTAAAGATGAGATCAGCAATAATGATGACAGCAGTGCTGATTTTAGGGATAGGGTATTCAGATGTAGCACCTGGGGTAATTAGATGTTTCTAAACATCTGCTCCACAGTGATGTGGTTTTGTTTGGGGCGGGGGGTAAACAGCTTTTACAATTACAAGTATTCTGTATCCCTTCGGTTTCAGCTGTTAAGAGTAAATTGTAATGCTATCTATGTAGCTTGGCTTTTTGTTTTTCTCAAAAAAAGGAGAAAAAGAAAATATATACACTACTGTTTTTATAGCCCATACCACGGCCAGATCCAGTGAATAATAAAGAAGAAACCCTTGATCAAGTTTTGAAATCCAGACTGAACGAAAAGGAGCTTAAGAACAATAGAGGTCCTACAATTGAAGAGCTCAGCAAAATGTTTTATACAACAAAACATCGCTGGTATCCCGTGGGACAGTAAGTATTTTCTTTTCAGTGTTTGTTCCTTCGGGATGTAAAAGGAGATACAGGAATAATCTAATGAGTAGATTTAACCTAGGATAAGTCATGTGAGACAAGATAGCACATGGGCTACTACATAAAATCTTAAATGCGGTGTTGTGTAAATGGAAGACTGTATTTTGTAAGGGTTTTTTTAACACTGCCCCTTTGGTAGACTTTGCAACTTCTTTTTTTTTTCTTTTTGCAAAATATGTCACAGAGTAGAAATTTCTTATACCATCTAGTTAGCTACTGGTTCAGGTGATTTGTTAAAGTTGCATAAGTGAAGTTTGCTAAGAGAATCTAGTGTGTAAAATACCTTCAATGGATATAACCAAATACAGCTTGGAAACATGCAATGTCTATTCTGTAACAGCTTTTCAGAAAACAACTTAATGGGATGATTCTCAGACTTAATAATAGTAGAGGTTTTTCATTTGAAATGGTGAAAAGTATACCTTGGTGTGCCTTGTACTCAGAAAGCTAGGAGGAGGAGAGGTGCAAATATGCATGACAGCTTGCAGAGGAACTATATATGTTCAGAAATACCACTGGAAACAAATGACATTCTAGTTTGTGTTACTCCTTTCCAGTTCATGTTACTACACCTTTTGGTAGCTTCTAATTTTATAGCTATGGAGACTTGATTTGGGCAGGTTTTTTTTTTTGTCCACAGAAAAATTTTTAATTTTGTGTTTTGGGAGTAGATGAAATGAATGAAATGGTAAACTTTCTGTGGCCAAAGGGTAGCTGTTGCTTTGACGCACATCAAACAGGATCTTCCTTGTTTTAGGGTGTGAGGAATTAAAAGGAAAGTAGGGATCATTTTTGTTGTGAAGAATTTGTTTTTTAGTTTGTCTGCAAAATATTACACTATTTAACGTACAGTCTAGCATAACTCCTTTATACATCGAGTCTCTTTGTTCTGTAGCAATCATTTTAGCCAAAGGAAAAGCTGACCATGTAATAAAATTAACTTCACACAAAGGATTAAGAATAAACAGCAGCCTTTGTACCTATTCAGCTGTAGAACTGATTGGATTATTGTGTGCTTGTAGCAGATGTAGCAGTAGAAATGAGTAGCGTTACATAACTCCGTGAACAACAGAGACAACGACTAATGAGTGGTGATGGGTTGTGCTCGTGTATCTTGTGTTTTGCTTACTTGTGTAACCTCCAGACCACTCACCGGGGAGAAAGATATCAGGAGAATCAAAGATTCTCCAAAGCTTGCATTCACTGCAGCCTTTTTTTCTTCTAGGTATCATAGAAGACGCAAGAATCCTAATCCTCCTAAAGACAGATAATTAAGATAACTTCTTGTTCATCAGCACTTTGCTATTAATCTTCATTGGAAATAAAAATTACAGAAAATGAGATGTTTGGCAATTCTGTGTGAGTGCTGTAATTGAAACATGCTTAACTAAATTTGTTATTTTCTATTTCAACTAGTTGACAGTAGAAAAACCACAAAACTGCACTACTGAAGCAAGGATCCAGTGAAGGCTATTGTATACACACGGTCAGTGAATGTGCTAGTGTTAGACCTGGATGTAACAGGTGATGGAGTGCTCCGACTAAACTAGGTCAGAGCCTTATCATTGGTACAGCGAATGCATAGAAGTGTTATGTCAAAATGGCAAGTCTAGAACTGGACATGTTAGGGTTTGTTGGGTTGTGTTTTTTTTTTTTTAGAAACCTAGTGACTGAAATGCAGATGAGCTTGAATACTGAGGTATTTATGAAATAGTATTTATGAAAAATATTATGAGGTATTTATGAAAACAGTAAAATAGTTTTGCTTCTTCTATTATGCTTGTAAGATGCCTGATTCTGTGTTTAATCCTACATCAGCCAAGTGATTGTACTTAAAGCTAACATCATGTACTGAAAACTGGCCAACTTGGTTGAATTTTAGCTTCCAAGGCATAATAACTCACCCTTCTAAATCACCCAGCAGTCCCAAGTATCTGAGATAACTTCTGTGTGCATTTGTGGTTTGTGGGTTTTTTTCTGGTAGTGGGTTTGTTTTGGTTTGTTTTGTTTCTTTAAACCCACCCCAACCACCGTTCAGTGAGGATGCTATGTTCGTATATAAATCGAAATAGCTGTAGCTCAGGGGAGGAAGAGTTCTTTGCCTCAGTAAGCTAATTGGGAAAGACTCCGAGCTCTTTCTAGCTTACCTAGTGGGAAGGATTGGCCCTTTACTATATAAAATGCTTTAAATTAAAGAAATTTGGTCTGATTCTACTTCATAGCTTTAGCGTTTTGTAGTGCTTAAATGTTTCTGCTATTAAAATAGTCTGTCATCTAGCATTTTTTCTCAGGAAAAGGAGATCTTTACTCCAGTCTACAGTTTTAGGCATCAGCCCTCTGATCGAAAGGGCTAGCTTGGAACATGGTGCCTCTGCAGAGATCCTGGTGACTTCATTAAGTTTTCTTAGCAGATCCTAATAAATAATCAGAAAATAATTATCCCATATATGTCATACGTTTTAATTGTATTTCCTTTCCACAGCAACTTGGATAAGATAGGAGAGTTCTTGTTTCTTGTGTTAGTCTAGTGTCATTTTGCCAGCATGCGTTACCTGCATATTTTGCTAGAAGTGGGGTACCATATAAAGTCGCTAATCCTGGTCATTGTTAGCATAAAGGACCCTTACTTTTCTAAAGTTATTGCTAAATAACTGGTTTTCCTTCAATTTCCTTTTTTTTTTTATTTACAAATTTTTCTTCCTAAAAAAAGTAATGTTGGATGCATGTAAAAGAACTGCCTTTAAATACTTCTGGAAAATTTTACATAAAGCTAGTCTAAGTATTTATCTGGGTATTATTTTTAATAATGCCAGTTAGCTGATAATGGTTTATTATGGCAGAGCATGAAATTGTTTTGCTTATTCTGTTATGCTTTTAAGATATCTGAGTCCACGTTTAAGCCTACATCAGCCGAGTGATTTTGGCTCCATATTATACGATGTGTTGCTCGCGTGATAACAAACATGTGATCACAAAGGAATGTCTGTTGTGTCTATGAAAATGATTGCTGCTTACTCTGCAAGTTCTATCGCATGAAAATAATTATTTTTTCTGCCTGGAATGTAACTTTTAAGATAGTTTTTAGTAATTTGTAATACAACAAATTTTAGTATTTTCATCAGTTCATGGTGCCTGTGGTACTGACACTGGTCCATAAGTGAGAAGCTTACATCTCATGTTTAGGGGGTTTTTATGTTCCACTGCATAAAATCAAGCCCCCTTTATTTTTGGAAAGCTGAGACCTAATTTGTCACCGTTTGACTTCACTCCAGTGTAAGAAAATATATCCTTGGATTAATTTAAACTTTCAATTTTTTCTCCCCCTTCTTCTCCCTGATACTTTTGCTTATTGTTGCCTAATACCATTAAGACATTTTGCTTTACAGAAACCTTCTGTTATCGCATTTGTGCTTGCCTGTCAAACCCTGTTTATGATCAAACATCCACAATCACTGTAGAAATGCTGGATTTCTCAATGTTTCCCAAACATTCTTGGATGCTTTTCAGGCATTTTGAGGGCCGAAAATCTATGATGTGCTGGACTGCTATCTTTAAAGTACTTCCTTTTCTGACCAGTTGCTGGAAACTGAGTCTAAAACACATGTTCACTACATGTACCCTCTGCCATTTTGTTATTACATTAATGCATAAAATTGATATTTTAAAATCTTTCCCTGCATTACGCTGCCACTCTCAATCTTTCTATGTTCTCTTCTACTAAATCTTTTTCCTGGATCATGACCAAATTAAAATCCTACTCTCACAGCAATTCCAAACTGTCCTCCTGATTTTCCAGGTCTTGAACAACTACATAAAGCTGTCTTTATCTGCTTCTCTTCGCTTGAAAACTTGAATTTGAAATCTACCCATTTGACTCTAGTCCCACTTCTATGCAAAAGAATAATCCATTTGAAAGTTAGTTTGGGATTTCTGTTTTCTGTTGCTCGTCTTTGTAATTGCAAACTTTAGTTGCATAGAATTCACAATGTTAAGTCTGCTCTGGTGTCTGTATCCAGGTTTAGGCACTTAGCCATTTGCTTTGTACCTAGTAGGTAGTGTTTCAGACCTTTTTAGGCTCATTGCTGTGGATAGTATACAGTTGGGTGCATCTTTTAATGTCTCGCTAAAAGTCTTCTCAGGCTGTACTTGCTGGCATGCCATTAGAAAACTGTTTCAGTCAAGTATCAGAACATTTGTTCTCAGTTCAGACCATTTAAATCGCAGTTCAATTTATCTTGATGTCCTAGTGAAAATAAAGTTCTTTCACTTCCTCTAGTTAGACCTGATTAAAAGAGGAAGCGTGCTTTTAAAACAGGTTTTTGCCTTTTCTGTGCGCAAATTACGTTGTTCTGCAGATCCTTGGTACTACCACCAGGAGGCAATCTTGCACAATAACGCAACTGGATTTGTCTGAAACTGTAGAGGATTTAGCTGCATCATCAAATTTAAGACATACGTTAGCTACTCTTTAATTAAATTTGTAAGAACTTAACAAAAAGGAACTTCCTAGCAGGTCTGAAAGTGGTTGGATTCAAAGGGTCAAAGGTTCTTTTGCAGGACTTGCCTGTTTGCTTTGACTGATTTGACTTCTGTAAGGTGTAGCAGAGATGTATGTCCACACTTAAACACAAAAAGCCCTGCCCTCCCAGTTTTGAAAATATGAGCTAGCAGTGGAGCAGTAATGGGACCCAACTGCCACTTACACCCATGTCACAAGTTTCACGTCTCTGTGCTTCAGTTCCTCGTGACTATATCGGAGGGAGCAGTTATCCATCCATCCCTTCCTGCCCCTCCAGTAACTCAGTCCTATAGGAAAGTTCCCTTCTTGTCCATTTACTGTTGTAATACGTCTGAATTTCAGCTGCCACGTCTAAATCCTGCTGTACCAGAATAAATCACTGCTGCAGGTCCGTTAAAAGTCACAGTCATGATTGCTGCTTAAAGCCAACACTGCATTTCTCAGTTACTCCAGACTTTATAAATTTTAGCAGCCGCTCTGCTGTGATTTCTCACATGCTCATTCCATCCTCAAAATCGATACAAAGTTATATACAGAAGAGATCAAATAGATGTAGACTGCATTCGTCTTCTGTAACAAACAAGGTATATTTTGTTTTAATGCTACAATATAATAAAATTGACTTAAAGCCCACCATTGACTAGAGTAAACGTCAATCGAATTGTGTATCTACAATACATAAAAGTTGGATTCATCTCTAAGATTGAGAGAGCTACTAATTAGACATCTAAGCCAAGTTAATCTTTGTAGGCTCCCCTTATAGTCAATTGACAGAAAAAAGTACCTGCACAAGGCAGTCGATCTTATTTTAAGACTTTATTGATTAGAATATGTCACACACGTTGTTCTCTGGAAGTGCTTTTTCCTTCTCGTCTGTGAAGGGAGGATGAAGTTTAGTTGAGATTCAGATGCCTGTATCAGAGCAAAGGAAAGCAGTCTTACCTTCCTCCTCCCCACCATTTAAGAGAGCATATATGTAAAAGAAAAATACTCCACTTAAAATTAAGATAAAAATATTTTTGCTGTTTCTGCTAGCCTTCAACAGCTTGTAGTCCATATATAGGAACTCTGTTTTCTGTACAGAGTAATTCACACACATTTAATTTGTAATTGTGAATAAATTGTGTATAGCATTTTAATCTCACCTCCTTATATTTAGGCAACCCTCCAATGCTAAAAGATAATACTTAAGCTGTTAATTTTTTGTTTCATTCGGTGTGTAGTCACAGGAGAAATAAGATAGTTACTCATTTTATGTATCTTTATAGCACCTCTTCTAATGAGCTCATGATCCCAACTGTTACCTCTAGGTACTTCTAGAAAAACACAACAAATGGTAATTTACTGGGTAATTTGCACAGAATTCTCTAAAAATTTAAATACAATTTATACAGAATGTTAGTTCCACTGTATATAACTACAGCTGTTAGGACACTGCACATCAGAAGGGGGGAGCTATGTGGAAGCTGCATGAACCAAACGGCATGTTGGTCAGCAGTTTTGCATCATGTGGCTTCTAAGAAGTGAAAGTTTATGGCCTGGAGTACCACTTCATTAAGTGTCATGATATAGGTGAGAAATTACAATAAATGTATCACAAAGTTTTTCATCACCTAGAGGCACCACAGGAGGTGGGAATGGCCAACAGAGCTGAGAAACTTTGCCAACTAGTCTTTCTGAAAAATGGAGTAAGTAATAAATACAGAGAACAGTTGCGCTTTACTACTTGTCAAGATGAAAAACAGTCTCGGGTCAGAGGCAGTTTACCATTTTAAATGAGGCCAGTTTTGACTGCTACCAAAGTTTACAATTCCTCAGCAAAAGAATCTCCC